TCAAGAACTTGATGCATATAGACAACCGTTAGGTTTTGTCATCATGACATTATATACATTGACTCGTTATGTGCTCCCTTGTAGAAAATAGTCACTCACTGAAGGTAAATGATTCTGAATTTCAACTTTACCATATTCATCATTCATTATTAATTACTATATTTGATATAACGTAAGTAGCTACAATGCGGGTCATTATTTTAGTCAAGCTTTTAGACTTGGTGACATATTTTAACTTGAGAGAATGAGGATTTGCGAAATACGCGCCTGGCAACACTAGCAATAGAATATAGAAGCACTAAGATGCTTAGGTGAATTTAAGGGCTGTTTAGTTGACTTCTATTTGATCTCCTTCATCTTCGATTTTGATATATGTTTTAAAAGGTTGTTGTGGGCAGGTTTCTTCTTCTATTTTGCTTCTCATGAATTCCTTTATCTCGTATTTGAACGGATAATCACATCCATGATGAATACAACAAGGAATACTCAGTAGTTCTTTTTTGAGAGACAATATATTGAGCTTACCAGTCTCGGATGGTTATATGGATGGGCGATTTCATTACTTATAAAATTTCAAGCTGTGAGTGAAATTTCGTATTCAAATTTCGGTAGAATTTTTTGAGACGGTCGTGTTCTTTTCACAGAAAAGCGGAAGCAAAGTTTGTCATTAAAAAGTAACTGAAACGTGATTTGGCATCTAAAAAAACTTCAATGACAAGGTATACACACACACATACACACACACAAACACACACAAAATCCAACTGATTTTGTGCGCTTTAGGAATTCTCATACTATTTATTGATCAGAAACAAAAATATATTGTTTGTGGACATATAGCCGGTAGAATGAATTTTGCGGGCTGAGAAATACTTCTCTTGGCGAACCGAATCATGTAATTTAGTCATCGCCATTTAATACGGTCAATTGGTGTCTTGCCTTTCATTCTCTGCAATATTAGCTTGGTTTACTTAAGTTAGGGTTTTGTAACCATTTTAAAGTAAAATCCATTACTTAAAATTAATTTGGTCAGACGAAACAAAGATAAAATTAGATTAAGCTAAAATTGAAGACAAAACCATGCATTCTTGTGGTTTTATAACGTGTCCCTGCTAGATGGCTCACGGAAGCTTGGTCAAAATACATCTTTTTTTGAATTGAATAATGAATAAATTGAGATTACGATGCGAGTGAACTGAAGTAAGCTAGAAGCTACTCTATATAAACAGTTGTATCAGGATAAGAGTGATCTTGTGTGGTATGACTGATTATTCGCTTAGCTTCAAACCTTTTGTTCATTTGATTATTTCTAATTTAGGATAATCACATTATGCTAACATATTTTTTTAATAAAGTGTAATAATCTCCAGTTCTTCCTTGAGGGTAATCTAGAGTTCTCTCTCTATTCATTTGCAATTGACCCCTTGGGCTCTACATCAAAAGTCCCGAAGGATTTCTCCTTTGGTCTCCAAACTAAAAATAAAATCCATTAATCAAGCCTATCATGCACTACATCTCAGTGGAAAAGAGGATGAACACACACCACACAAACACACACAATAACAAAAACAATAACAAAAACAATAACAAAAACAATAACAAAAACAAAAACATGGGAAAACAAAAACATGGGAAAAAAAAGAAGAAAATCGAAAAAGCAAAGCATGGTAATTGCTTCGGTTTTTATATTATTGATATGATCTACTGGATACTTTTAATTGAATTATTCTTGAATAAAACTGAAAGAAAAAAGATTGGAAATACACGAGTTGGTTTTTGTTTTTCTCTTTCTGTGTGTGCATGTGACGGATAGATGTGAGTTGGGGCTTAGGTGCTTTAGGGGGGAAAATTAGTCTTGATTAATAAAGGTGATTCGAGCTGAAGATTGCCCCAAATATATTTTTATTATCGATTTGAATATAACTGATAATTCACATTTACTTGGGAATTACGTTGGACTTTAGAGGGATCACGGCTGATGCGCATATACCTTAATAATCCTTGCTTTCTATAGTTATAACACCTGGATTTCGCTATCATTAATATTCTAGTTTGTTTATTTCTCTGCCGATTCAATCTTATTTGGCATGCAAAAAAATACCCTAGAAAACAGCAATTATGCCAGTGAATTAAAAAATACATAATTTGAAATGAAACACAAATACAATGGTCGAGCATGTGATGTTTTGGCGTATCAAAACGCGATCTGCACCTGGTGTCCTTCACATAACATAGTCAAGGACCTGGTTAGAAGTGCTTTTTCTTCGTCTATCTTAGAATCGACTAAAATACATTCAACGGTGAGTCACTCATTCCTATTTTATTTTCATGGCATCATTCATGTTTGTAAAATACAACTGATAAAAAACGAACAGTGAGAATGGCGAGCTAGTGATGACTGTCACTGTTTTTCGTTTTCCTATTTATTACACACGACAAATAGTCAACTGACTGTGAAAGCATTATGGGCTTGGTTGGTTTCACCTAATTTTCCATATCTTCGGTGACCTGACAAATACGAGTTGGTGGCAAAGCATATAATAACAGCGACTTTAAGCAAACCGAGATGGCTCGCTGTATCCATAGTTACCTAAGATATTTTTGTCATGATAAATTCGCTCTCTATCTTGCCCAACTTCGTGAGAGAGGAAGCCGGATTCATATTGGCATGATCGGCCATTACTTGTGCACTTTTCACAAAAGATTATGTATTGTACTAAGATTGCACTTTAATGCCGTAAGTTTACTCAGAATTTCGAAGTAAGCTTTTGTCACTTTGTTGTACAGATTGTAGTGCTTTCAAGACAAATTAAGTATTTTTTCTTATTTTTCTGTTATTTTTTAAAGATTAACAAGAGAATGACAACTTCATCGGTTATTACTGAAAAACTACACTCAGTTCCCAGCCAAAGTTAATTTTTTCCATTCGCCACAGACTCAAAAGTGACAATTAGAAGGACTAATATTTTGGCCTGATTTCTTATAGTTCATTTATCATTTTTAAGCGATTAAAAATTTATACCGAATAACTAATACATGGCGAGTGATTGATTGCTCAGAATGTGTGAATATGTGTTTCGGAGATGAGTGACAGGTTTAAGTTTACTACCGACAATGTCACTTCTACTTAATGAATAACAAAGTTACTGGGTTTGGAATAATAGAGATAAACTTGTCAAAACATATAGTGGTGTTGGTAGTGAATTGGAAAAATTGCGCTTTTCTCTTGCAGAAGCCGTTGTCAGTTTTCGTTTGCCATTGCTTTACGCTAACGAGTGGAACAATGATAGATAATCTAGCAAATGTCTAAATAGATAGACTCGGAAAATTCAGCATCGAGCCTTGAACGGATAGTTTTTGGAGCACGTTGTTTCGCGGCCCATTTGATTTTGTCTCCAAGTAATTTTTAGTTCCTTATCTGTAGACGGCAAGCCCATTACTGAACTTATTTCCTGTTTAATTCAAATGTGTAGAAATGGAACTTTTCTTGAAGTTCTAATATCAAGTTCAGCTGCCTCTGTGCGTTTGCCCGGATGCATTGCTTGGCACAGCAGGGAGCCCGGGTACCAGCAGCACGGCACCGCTTTTGAGAATAAAAGATTTTGATTTTTAGAGTTGCGTTGTTTTGATTTGCTTCGTGAAGATGTTGGCAAACGTGAGTAATCTGCTTTAGACTGAAAGACCTCGACTAGTCATACCAACATGTGAAATGCGGTACTCAGAGTCTAATGTACTACAGGTGCAAACAGCCCGTCGTACGAAAAGTGTCCGCTTCGTCTTGCAATAAATTTAGAGTTTGACAAAGTGACATCAGGATTTAACAACTTACTATATTTAAAGATACGTAAACTAAACGACTCATAACTGTATTATCGGCTTGATAGATGCTTGGAAGGTTTCGATTTTTATGATCATTTTGTGACAAATTACGGGACGATGCATCATGATAGCCTTATCTAATTATTTGAATGTGGCTTGTGGGTTACGTACCTAGCAACCTTAATTATAGCAACACATTCCTCAAATAAGAACTATGACTATTGCACGCAGCAATGATAACAAAACATTTGGCCACAACTATCATGTTACAAGCCGAATATTTCAAAGAAATGGTCCACATACATGGAATAAATTGCACCCAGTGATTTCTTTTCCTCATTACGCAGACTACGTGCATGTATATCGTTATCGTGTTTGACAATATCCACATCAATATTAACCGATTAATATTAACATGTACCTAAAAAAGGCGACCACGTATGTTTATCTGACGTGACAACGAAAGCAGTTAGTATGAGTAGTACTTGGTACACAGGCTAGGAATATAGTTTTTGCAGGGCGTATAACAGCGAAACATATGACTGGTGCTGGTAAACAGGATGACAGGATTCCATTGGATGTGGTATTTATTGAAATGGAGATTATCCAATAATTACTTTAACTAATTATCGACCCAGCTATCAATCCTCTGTCAATAACAGCTATTAACTTTGCTAACATGCGTAAGCTAAAAGATAAGAGCATCATGATAGCTATAGATAGCAAAAAAACTTGACAACTCGATTGTTTAGTGGCTAAACTATTGTCTTATGATTTTAGAATAATATTCATGTTCAGTTCGGATTCTTGTTATGTATATATATATTTTTGTGAATGTGCCATCAATAAAAGTTAAAGGTTTAATTCAGAAGTGACGGATATGGTGCGGGTGGCTTTTCTTCCGACCACTATTGTGAAGTTCTCATTCTGTATCATTCTCTTTGACTGCAGGTGAGAATCCGACTGCGATCCAGCCAGCTTTTCAAGGTAATTTACCATTCATAGAAGCAAAACAGGAGATCCGAAAAGATAATTGTTGTCCGACAGGGAAACATATCTACATCAACAGAAGCCCGACAGTTCGAGATCAATATTTAGAAATTCGCAGGTGACGCAGGTTACTGACGAGGCTTTTTCTGGAGCTTGGCATGGTACGACATTGACTAGGAGTCGGTAACTTGTCAATCTACAGGAAGAAAGATTTGTATACCATTCAAATACGTCACAAGTGTTTTGTAGCACCAAATATCTAAAGCTCGCGCCTGGACGGCTTTATACATCGTTCTCTTACGGTGCCCGGATCTGATTGGTTGTTTTTAATGATTGAAGGGTCGGTTTTAACCCTAATAAGCTTTGTGGAGTACACTAAAGGAGGTTAGGTTCTTTCGTCAATCACCGAGGATCGTGATTTCCTCAAGGCCAAGAACTACGTCAGCCAGACCACTACATCAAGGACGGTAATAAAATACAAGTATTAAGAACGACACAATTCGGGTGCCAAATGTAAAGGAACTTGTACACTTAAAAACGGGATAGCATCGATATCCGAAATCATTTGATTCTTTTTTCAGTGATTTGGTAAGGAGAAGTTGAGACCGTTCAATAGCACAGGAAACTCAACATACAGCTCTAAAAGAGACAAAAGCGATACTTAGGAGCGAAAGTCTTGTTTCATTAGAAGAACAACAGCAGAGACGAACAAGCCGATCAGAAGGGAACATAAACACTTATAGCATCTCAGCCTTTTGCGAAAATGAGTATGAGTATTGGAAACTCGATTGCTTTGGGGACACTTGGATTCATAATCACAGTGGAAAGTCTAGTGGTTTGCTTTATGGTTTACCGTTATCGTATTCTACGCACCTTCAATAATGGATTTGTCGTGTCTTTAGTATTGTCAGATGTTCTCTTCGGTGCTGTTCTGCTGCCTGTCATAATCCACGACGCAACCTCTCTCGCAGCCGGTTTTTTGGTCGCAGTTATCTTGATGGCAAACGTTACCAATATGTTTGCTGTAACTTTGGACAGATTTCTTGCAGTCATGAAACCTCTTATCTATCACGTTACTATGGCAAAGCATTTTACCAAGATTGTGATGCTAGCATGGGTATTACCCATAGGAATCACCCTCATACCAATTGCATACGACGGTGACCGTAGCGGATCGGCGCACAAAATATATCTCTTTGGAATTCTTATAATTGGAATTCTTATCCCTTATATATTTATTCTTGTGGCATACGTCATGATATTTCGTGAAGTTTCGCGTCAGGTTCGAAAGCTAGCAAAGCTACAAAACCTTAGATTTGATCAAGATGCCTTAAAGGAAGGCAAAAGAGTTACTGGAGAAGCAAGAATGGCAAGAGTGTTTGCCCTAATTGCAGGTATCTTTGTTTTGACATGGCTTCCAGTCGTGTACATGACAACGGTCGAAGCTATTGGCCTTGTAGAGACATTAGTACCAGAGGTGTTGATCACTATATCATGGTACACTTTGTGTATGGGTTCTATAACAAATGCCCCTATTTATGCTCTTTTCAAGTCTGACTTCCGTAAAGCCTTCCAAAAAATGTTACGATTGAGAAAAACTAGATTCCAATGCCTCCAGGAAACTTCGAGTTCCCTTCTACCTCAAACTTCAGATCGAAGGACCAAAAGCACGAACGATAAGCATCAGCTTCACCCCCCAAAGTCTCCTAAATCCCCGACTTCCAAGAAATCTCCATGCTCGCAAACGAGTCAACACTGAAGGAAGTTCTTTAAACCGATACATGCATGGTGTGAATAAAAGACCCTCGAGTATTCGTTCAGCAGGTGTCCCAAGAAAAGACTAACGTTACATTAATTTCATGGAGGTTTGAACGGTCCGAGAGATCAACACCGGCGATCAATAAACTTCAAATATGAAGTAGCCGCTTTTTTATTGAATCAACTATTGAGAGAGTCATGGATTTAAATGCAAGAGTTGCCTGAGGTGGTTTTCAGCGCGAGGGCAAAAAGCTTGCAAATGACATGAATCGTTTATTTAGATTCGAGCGCCTCGCAGCGCTAAGAGTCGTGAGCGTGTGGATGCGGTTGGATTCACAAACAACCATTTCGCAAAAAAGAATACTCGTTTTTATACGCGTCTTACTAGTGGGAATTACGCTAGTAGTTATTTTTAACTTCCATTCTTTATGTTACTTAGATTGGCAAGGTTTGGGAACAGCTGATAACTATAATGATTTGGCCGGAATATACCCTAAAATTGTAACATGTACAGTATACAAAGTTCTTCATTAAACTCAGTACATCATATATTCTAACTAAATATTCAACGTCTGGTTGTCTTTTAATTGATGTGGACTGGTATTCACTAGTGAGTTGTTTTTGCGTGCGAGTGCACGATGATTTACCTGTACTTAATAAATCTAACCTAAAATGATCCGAACCATATATTAAAACGCCAGAACTAATCTTATACCAGACTAATAAGGTTAACGTAGCGACCCCAGACGTGAATAAAGGGAGGTTTCATATATAGCACACGTACGACTATCTTGTTAAAACTTGGCTTTGCAAAACTAACCTAGGTACCAATGGAGAATTTTCGATGAAACTTTATCGGTCAAAAATGTCAAAAACTTAAAACACTTTTCATGGCATAGAAATAACAACGAGAAATTAAGCCACTAAAAAGGATATAGAATTTCCATCCTACCTTAGCTGTAAATAATACGAGTAACTGGGTACAGATGTTCGCTGTTGTGTTAAGATGGACAGTGTTTTTGAATAAAATATAAGCCACATCACAAATATGCAGACAAAGTTATTAGTTTGATTGGTAAGGTGCACGTTTTCACGAATCCTTATCTAACGCCTCATATTTATTCCATTAATAACAGTTACACAAAACGGGAGTACATTACAAGAGGGTCGACTAGACAAGCTCTAAAAGGTGTTCAGAATGGGACAAATTAAAATGATTGCTATTTACAATTGTAGTGTACACAAGAAGCTGAACAAATGAGTCAATTAAGTAGAACTAGAAGTCTACTTCAGTTCAATAAATTGGCTACACAAAAGCTCCATTGCAAGCAGACGTCTAGGAAGATGATCTTCACATTGTTAACGAAGACAAGTTCTAAAAGAGCTCTTACGTCAACACAAATTATCAATAAACATTCATCTAAGCTTATCCACATCACTGGAGTAACACTGACTCCGTGACTGGTATCTCTCGAGTACCGAGTCATACCGGCTAGAAGGGTTGGCATGTAACGGAAACTAGTTATCTCTATATTTATAAGTATTTTATGATACATTTTTAGAGTTGTCCAATTAAGACATTGGTTTTCCACTGCTTCTGTCAATTGCATTTATGAAGCAGATAACATTTTACATTTCTACGCCATTCCTTGCGCAAGAAGCTGCTTAACCAAAAGAGAGATTTACTCTGTGTTTTACTGATAACATATTTACCAAGTATACGTAAAGGCACGCGTAGGCATTTCGGCCTTCCGGTCCGCTACGGATTTCATCTTGTATTTACTGCTCCTAACCCAATTGGAACGAAAAGATCGCATGTTGCGTAAGGCATGTTTAAAAAATATTTTTTAAACAATCAAACCAAAAGTGTAGATGGACATTTATACTGCTTAGCATTTACACTGTGCATATGATCGATTAAGAAAGTCCGAAACCTAAGACCCAACTGAAGCAATCTAAGTGGATTGGATTCGGGGTCACCCCATGTTTGTTAGTACCTCTGTGTGTAGTCTATTTTGGATTTGCTTGATTCTGGAAGCAATTGTCCGTAGTTTTGTGTTGAATGTTTTTGTCCTGAGTTGTTCCTCTTAAAGTATTTATGGTCGCATCTTTATCCACAATTATTCACAAAATGTATGTGTTCTGAGGGAAGTAAATAATATACAAGACTAGAATCACGCTGAAAAACGTAACTTATGGTACGTAGAGAAAGTACAAGGTATAGGTATTTTTTTCCATTCGAAAACAAAAGCCGGCGGCTAAAATAAGAAGTTCAAATCCTTTCGGCTTTTCCTCCTAGTTTAAGTTTATCAGTTTATTTTGACCCAAATTTGGGGTCAAAACAAGGCAAACAGTGTGTGTCTTTTTAATTTCGGGAATAAACCGTCACCAACAGAGAGGAATATTGGTCTTTTATCAAGCAGCGAAAAGCAATTTTCCTCAGCTGATGGTAAGATGCCGCTCTAATTGTTAATTCAGTCGAAAATTCTAATGAAACTCCACCGAAAGTGAATGAAATTTCACTACAGAACTTCACTGAATGAGATACGAAATATCCGCAGGAGATATGAGAAGGCATGCTATCTTTAGACTGACCTAAAACAAAACGGCTCATAATTTATTTAACGAGCGCTTTTGAAGTGATCGCCTGCAGCGAACAGGTCGCGAGAAACGTGTATTGTATTTGGAGACGACCTTATTTTGGTATCTTCAAGATACCGGTGACCAGTTCAGTTCGGTGTTTTTTTGGTTATAAAACGGAAAATAATTAAAGAGCGTGTAGGTAATTTCATTCCCATTTCAATTATCATTGCCGTCGATGGCTGGCCGCAAAATACACACTGGTATGACAGCATTTTAAAATTTGGTTTGTTTTGGAATATTTGCAATAGGAAAGAATGAAGACAAAAAAGCATTGAAAAAGAAAAGAAAAGAAAAAAAAAAAAAAAAAAAGGAAAATTGGTCCATTTCAATTCTGAATCATTTGATAAATGCAAAAATGTCAATTCTACAACATTTTCCATGATACAAGCACTAACATGGGTAAATAAATTGAACAGAATTATGTGCAATACTTGTATCTACTCGATCATAGAAAGTGTATTTGAATAAATGTCGGAATCAACCCGACATCTTAATGAAAAAGCGGAGAATAACTAAAAAATGCATGGAATTGCGGCTTTCCGTCCCACAACACTTGTTTATCCAGTTTAATAAACGCACAGTAAAAACTGTTTTTCGATTAGGAAAAATCACAATTAACCGACCAAAACACTTTGCAAATAGGACGATCACAAATTAAGGTATCGATGAGTTTGGCTGCAGACGCAAAGGTTTCGCGCATATTAGAAAAAAATTCTTTTTATGTGTCCGATTGAAATGGCTTAGAAGAGCTTGAGCATACTCCATGCCTTCCATAAATAGATACACAAATAAATACATTTCCTTTACATTTCAACATAATTGGTCATACCGCATTGTTTTAAAATATTTTTTGTCGTTGTTGGGAAAAGCAATTGTATTGATGGAGTGAGAGATGTGAGCGGTTATGAGCGTTTGATGACGGTGGCATATTTATTCTCAGTGGTTTTCTACAGGTAATAGCTAATACTGTGTTCCTCATCAACATGCAAAAGCATACCGACTCCCTCCCTACCGCCTCAAGTCAGGAGTATAAAACAACCAAAACAAGGTTTTATCGGTCTTTTGGTTTGAACAGATCCATCAGATGTCATACAATATTGATTCCACTTCAACTAGATTCACAACAAGTTATACACTAGGGAAACTCTTATCTTCCGACCCCTGGACGGAGCGGGGAATTAAACTATTTTAAAATTTTAGCTCTTTTCCTGGACTTTGGGGGAAAATTGTGGTTAAGACACCGATTTAATACTTCGACTCCCCGGTATATGTGGACCGACCTCATAATGTATGCCAGGAGTAAATGAACTAAGAGAAGGCATCCTCGCGAATGATGATGCTATTCTTAGAATCATTCATTTGATCGTTTGTTTTTCTGAACGCGCGTACTGCTCATGTTTTCTATTCTTGTGTTTTTCAAAAAAGAACGTGAGCAAACATTGTAGCCATTGCGCACAGTATGCGTGCGCAGAAAAAAAAAATGATGGCAAATGCAAAGCATGGATGGTAGAGATTCCTTCTCTTAGTTCATTTTCTCTTGTGTATTCGTAATCTTCAAGATTTTGACATTTTAGTTCGTACAGATCTCATTGTGGACAACGTTACAGGCCACAGTCAAACTGCTCATAGCAAATCGCGGTACTCGGCCCAGGCCACTGGCACACGAGAGAAAGTTAATAAACAAGAAAATAAGATGTATTTACCGAAAACTCTTTGGTGATTTTTGACAAGCAGCATTTAGATTATGTTGCACAACGAATTGTAAGAAAGTACTAATCATTTTCAATGCCTGACAATCTACTGGCCATACCACTGCTGAATAATAATTGGCTCCTAAATAAATTATGTATCACAAACATGGACTTGGGACATGAACATGGAAATCTGTACGTCACAGTCATGCGCAGTCAGTCCAACAAGGTTCCCACACGTTGAGAAAAGCATACTAAAATTAGGTCAACGACTTTGGATTTTGGGATTGTTCCTAAGGCTGACCTTTATGAGCCTCTAAGTCTTCGTATAACTTTGGATACACATTTGACTCGCATAAAAGCACTGATAAAGATCATTTGCATACTAATAATGAGTAGGAATTGATCATGTATAGAGGTACATGCAAGTATTGGGTTTGTGATCGCTCACATAAAAGGTCACGTTCGGCATTAAAATGTTTGCACGATACCGAGGCTCTCGAGCAATAAACATTGTTCAAAAGTGCAATAAAGCTCAAAAGGATCAGTAGATCTAGTGCTGTAGATTCGATGTCTTTTTTCTTGATATTATCGAGAGGTTATCGTGAGGTTATCGTCCTGAGTGAGGACCAACACTCAGGATCTTAAAATAACTGAGGAGAGGGTGCTGCCTTTGTAATAATATCTGCAAATGGTTAGACCTTCAAGTCTTCTTAGAGGACTGTAAACCGTAGACCCTGTCTCCCAACCCTTCATAATCTGCAGTAAAATGAGGGAAATAAAAGAAACTGTTGAATTATTCGTGTAACAGTAGGGAATTGTCTCCCGGTACAACAGTCTATCCCAAGCTGCACGGCTGCTAATAGTGTCGTAATATGCAGCCCGTAAAGTCCTCCACTGGTCACAAATGTAAAGCGCATTGAGACAATGTGAATGGCGACCATTGTGGTACCATTATTAACAATAGATGCTAATGAGAAATCTTTTGTTAAATGGTACCAACATGACCGCGATGACGTAGCGTGCAAACCTATCAAGAACTAATTTAAATTGCTAATTTGAATTACAGGAATAAAAGCGAATTATTTTCATAGCAGACGAAGCAGGAGTTATTTAACTAGTATTTAACCTACTCTATTGATCAATGCCTTTATTATATTACCCATATTCCTTTTATTACAAGGTCGCATTAATATTCGGTACATAACCCTGGGTAACACATGGTCTTCTTTGTTTGCATTGACTGTAAATGTTTGACTAAGGATTAAACAAATGATTGATAAAAGCAAGGAATGTTTTACTTTTTAATTTTATTTAGTAACATTTTTTTTCAGAAGTGGGTGTGATTTTTACCAAGACATTGATTGATAGCGCATGTGCGTGAATCGTCAAGCAGCGTAAGTCACGTTACGTTTGGGAGCGCACAAATGAATTTTAAAGTCTTTGTGTTCTTAGTATTCGTTATCATTGACTCATATTAGTTCGGTATGCTTAGAATGATCTCCTCAACTGGAACTGATGGATCTGCACTACTGACCACCATCACCACCATCACCACCATCACCTATTCACATAATATTAACCAAAACTGATAATAAAATGCCAGTTATGATTACCTCTTTATAACTACTAATTTTTAGGCCAATTGTCAGTTAACTGTTAAGCCCCATCCACATCGTCTTTACCTCAAGATATATAGAAAGACGTAAATAT